AAAAAAAAAAAAAAAAAAAAAAAAAAAAAAAAAAAAAAAAAAAAAGGCTAAAAAGAAAGTCCAAAGTTGCTAGCAGGAAGGAAAAAGTTCCAAGTCAAGGTCAAAATCAAACTCAGGTGAGTCTATATAAAACCCTTCTTAAGAGACCTCAGGAAGATTTAGGACGATGCCTTGGAGGCCTTCTACAAGCTAGTCATAAGAATGTGCTCATGGCACTCTCACTTTCTTAAGTGTACATTTGTGGTATGGCCTTTAATTAAAGGAACTGACTATAATTTGACACATGGGAAACCCACCACGTTTTTAAAGGAGTACTATTAGTACAATAATCAGATAGCAAAAGGGGGTGGGCTTCAGACTCCCTATTTTCAATAAGGAACAGATTGAGAAAGCTACAAAACTAGCTGCTTTTCTTTTCTTTTTTAGTTTTCAAGACAGGTTTTGCTTTGGCTGTCCTGGACCTTTGTAGACCAAGCTGCTCTTAAACTCACAGAGATCCCCCTGCCTCTGCCTCCCCGAGTGCTGGGATTACAGGCTGGCACCACCAAGCCTGGCTGCTTTTTTTCTTTTAAAATTAAAAGCAAAAACAAACCAACAAACAAGAATATGTTTTTCTTTAAGATGCATGTGCGCCTGAGTATATGTCTGAGCACCATGTGTATGCAAGGCTGTTGAGGCTAGAAGAAGACATCTGATCCCCTAGCACTGGAGTTACAGCTGTAAGCCACCACATGAGGGTTAGGAATTAAAGCTAGGTCCTTTGGGAGAGCAGCCAATGCCCTTAACAGCTGAGCCATCTCTCCAGTCCCCAAACTAGCCATTTCTGATGAAAAAGTAAACATTTCTATCAAAGGACAGAACCAAGAACCACCAAGAACAGCACAGTAGAGAACCAATGTCTGGGGGTAAAACTCGGTCCTGCAAGGAGTGTTTTCTGCACCCCAGAGCAGGAGAATCTGAAAACACATGTCTGGCTGGATTTCAAATTCCTAAGGACCAGCATCCTTCCCTTTTTTTTTTTTTGTTTGTTTTTTTGTTTTGTTTTGTTTTTGCTAGTTTCCTCATCAGTGTTCAGGATTAAACCCAGAAGCCTGTACATTCTGGGCAACCACTTTACCACTGAGCCACATCCTCTACCCTTTGTCCTTCCCTTTTTGAATGGGAACATTTATCACAGCCACCCTGTTTCATCACTGTACATCAAGCAGATGAAGGGAAAGGACCCGCCTCCCCTGTCCCTCTCATCTGTTTGTGAAGATAGGGCTTCATACAGCCCAAGCTGGCCTTGCACTTCCATGCAGCCAAGGCTGGCACTGCATTTCTGATCCTCTTGCCTTTTTTCTCTCATGTGCTAAGATTACAGACAGGTGTGCACAACCATGCTCAGCAAAAACTGTCTCTTTAATTCAGAGTCTCCAGATCAGAGGATCCTCATCCGCCATCATGCCCGATGGATTTGGATGATTGGATTTGGGGCATCTTGGGAAGAGATGAACATATTTTGTATGTGGGAGAGTTGCACTACTGTAGCCAGAGGGAAGACTATGTAAGAGTGACTGAACAGAGGACCATCATCACTTCTTTCCTATATAGGCAAGCCACTTTTTTCTATCAAGAGGCAGAACCTTTATCTTCACTCTTAGATCTGGACCTGGGTAATAACCTGCTTTGATCGAATGACTAAAGCAGAAGTAAGCTGTATGAAGCATTCTAACATCTACTTTTGCCCAAGAAGGAACCATGTCAGGAAGTGCAGGCTATCCACATGGATGTATGGGGGAAGTTTACATGGGGCTGAACCATGATCCCAGACATGAGTCATCCCAACATGAAGAGTAGAGGTGACCTCTATGTATGGAGGGGCCTTCCTGAATTCCTAAGTCAAAGAATTACGAACAATAAAATGCCATTACTTTAAGACTCTCGGTTATGCAGCGTATTACGTGCCAATAAATAATGGAAACAGTGGCTTTATGGACTAAGCATGAACATTCCAACCAAAGCCAAAGCATGTTCAGACTCCTTCCAATACCCCAATTCTACCAGAGACACATACAGTTTTTATACCTGCATGAAGTTAGGAATTACTGTCAGGCTTTACTTGATGGGGAAAAAAATCTTTAGTCATCCCAACAGTTGGAAATGAGGATATTTGATTTTTATAGGGAAGGATGGCTGCTGTAGCAGGCCTGTCAACTGTTACATGTGTCCCCAGAACAGAAAAGTAACATAGTGTTCCTGAACAAGGTGGGAGCTTGAAGGTTGGAAAACCAGCATCACTGAGGATAGAACTGCGAGCAGAGCTGTGGCAGGAGAAAGGACATTTACTTGCCACTCAGGCAAAACCAGGCACAGCTAGCAGAGAGAGTCACTTCACCGAGTCCTTAAAAAGAGCACTGCCATCCGAGAGCTGGAGGAGAGCAGTGGTTGAAAGCATTCAAGAAGGAAGATGACGCAGCTGCATGATGGGGCACTGTGGGTCACAGAGTCTGGACTACATTCCCAGGGTCTGAAGGGTCTGAGAAATCTGGCTGCTTGAAAAGCGCAACTCTGGATACTTTTTGGAGAACAAATCCAATATCAGAGTCTAGTGGAGGGGCTTTGTTGCAGCCATTCTAGAAACAGGCAGGTTGTACAACAAGCCTTATTTCTTACCTGTCCGTCCAAGATATAGAAGGGAAGTTGATGGGCAGAGACTATCTGCAAATGCTGATGACAAAGTTTGCTGCTTCTCGCCAGTCAGGAGGTCAATAACATACCAAATATCCTGCTTTTTACCTGGAATGTTAGTGGACACATTGTTAACACCCACCCCAAGTGGAAATAAACAGCATTGCCAAGGTAGCACTTCCAACCATTAAAGACCATCTCTGTGCTGGGAGACAGGCTGAAATCCCTGGGATACGGAAGATGTTTCTATGGCGCTCTAGAAGTGACATAGCAAAGGGTAACGCAAACATAATACCTCCTTGGGCCACTGAGTCCTATACTAATAACCTAAGCCTGACATGAAAGTTTCTGTAAACTTTATAATCTAATTATAGTATGAAAAAATTCTCCTAACTTTCAAGTTGGATTTTATTGCTTTGAGTAATAATCTTAAATATGAAAAATCTTGCCTGTCCCTTTCCCACGAACGAGGATATATATATATAAATACAAGTACACCTAGGGGCTCACCTCCTGGTAACTATATTCCTCAACATCCCTACCAATTAGCCCACATGTGAAGCGGCATATATAACTATAATTAGCTAGTAGCTGTGACTGGTCAGCAGAGTAGCTATAACCTGATGCTAATGAGGCTAAAGCTATCTCAATCTTTGTCTCTAGCCAATAAACTATTCCTAGGCTGCAGGTTGTACCCCTTGCCCTGGTCAGTTGATTAACTATGAACAGGCAGCTAGCATAGCCACATAAACAGTTTTAGGAAAACATATACATGTGTGTGTATGGTATAGACACAGGCATCTTGATTTGAAGGTCAACACACTCACTGTAATATGGTCATTTCTATCCTGAAAGTCATACCTCTGGTCATTCGTGTCTTCCTATTTTAATAGATGTTTCCTACATTCAAGTTCCCATGGCAGCAGAATATAGAAAAGCCAGAGAAGGTCACGGGGCACCAAAATTTGTTAAAGTTATTCTCAGCTGTCACAAATGTTAACACACCAGATTCCACACATGCACAATTTGTTTGTGGATCCTAACTGCTCTCAACAATAACTTCTTCATATAAAAGAGGTTTGAAGTTAGAGATTAAATTATATCCAAATAACTATGACCATGAATACCTTCCATCTATGTGACCTACATCCAGTTACTTATTTTAGTCTGTATAATCTACCTATAGCTCCAGTGGATGGATTAAGTAACTATCATGTTCATAAATATACTCAGTAAACTCACTTAACACATGGCACAGCTGGGTGGTGGTGGTGGCAGCGCACGCCTTTGATCCCAGCACTCGGGAGGCAGAGGCAGGAGGGTCTCTGAGTCAAGGCCAGCCTTGTCTACAGACTGAGTTCCAGGACAGCCAGGGACACACACACACACACACACACACACACACACACACACACACACACAAACAACCTTGTCTCAAAAGAACCAAAGAAATACCATGGCATAAATATGGTGAAAACACAATATCTTAAGCTGACCACAGATGATGAATTGTTGGCAAAAGCTGGAAGACCAAATGACACAGTCAGAAGATGGTCATATGGGCCCAGGGCATGGCCCAGAGGAGGGAAGGTTTCCTGGTCATTTCCTCTAAACCCCTGGGCTAGAAGATCCTCATTCTGAAAGGCTCATGCAATGAAGCAGGAGCCTGGCTGTCCCTAGAAAAAACTTAAAAACCAGACTGTATTTGAGACTTGGAAATGTATGCAGAGCTCCCAAGGCATGAATAGGCAATAAGCACTTTCGGTTCCTCAAAAAGAAAGCTGCTATATAAACACAGGGTATTTACTATTCTACTAGAATTTCAAGATAAATACAGTTCTCCTTTGTGCTACAAATGCATTTTTATTGACATTTTGGCAGCAATGTACTGAAGAAAAGCAGGTGAGCTGATGTTTTGCAAGCTGTGACCCCACAGGTGTGAAGGCAGCTTATCTAGGCAAGCTGCTAAGTGCTGCTGCTACCAAATATTCTGATAGCAGGAAATACTAAGAAAGCCTATAATTAATAGGCAGGGCCTGGCTTCCCTTCCTTGGCTCAGACTATTGTATTCACTTTGAATTTTATCCATTTGCAGCTAGGTATGTTGCAATCATGAAAGAAAAGTAGTAGAGCAACCCAGCAGCTAAACGCTTGTTAAATGAGTAACCATATTAATGGTGTCAATTTTTCCTTAGATGAAGAGAGCTTTTCTTAATTGGCCAGATGATTATGGCATGAACAGCAAGCAACACAGACAACTGAGGCAAGGAAAGGCTTTTCTCAAAGGTTTTTAAAAGGGTGATAACAGCCTGCTCTCCTAACTAAAACTCTCCCAGATTCTAGGATTCACTGTCAAAAGAAACAAGTTTTCAATGTTGAAAATGGGAACTCTTGGACTGGAGAGAGATGGCTCAGAGGTTAAGAGCACTGGCTGCTTGTTCAGAGGTCCTGAGTTCAATTCCCAGCAACCACATGGTGCTCACAACCATCTATAATGAAATCTGATGTCCTCTTCTGGGGTGCAGGTGTACAAGCAGACAGAACACTGTATACATCATAAAGAAATAAATCTTAAAAAAGAAAAGGAAATAGGAACCTTAGCCAGGTGTGGTGGCACAGGCCTGTAATCCCAGAACTCAAGAAGGCAGAGGCAGGTAAATCTTTGTGAGTTCGAGGCCAGCTTGGTCTACAAAGTGAGTCCAGAACAGCCAAGGCTATACAGAGAAACTCTGTCTTAAAAAAGAAAAAAGAAAAAAAAAATTAAAAAAGATAAAGAAAATGAAAACTCTTACCCATGTAGAGGATTCCATCTGAACTTCGGCATGGGGATGCCTGAACCAATTCTGGGATGGTAAAGGGAAGTTTCTTTAAAAAAACAAACAAACAAAACAAAAACGAAAAAAAAAAAAATAAGTTAGCCAAGTTTTGTGAAATTACTGTAATTTTACCAAACACACTGTTTCTGTTGCCCAGTCCTTCTAAACAGAGAGAAGCAGATGGGTCTTTCTAACTGGAACCTAAGAAGAAGGTTCTGGGCTTCCACAGCTACTTCCAACAGCCTCTGGGTTCCCCAGCTCTGAACTCAGTACACCGAGTCATTTATTTGACACAGGATGTACAGGTGTGCCTCAGGTCTCCTGTCCAGGTATTCCCTGAGGGTGCCATAAAGCTTTACTGAGAAGATTACACAAATATGCAGAGTTACAGAGTCTTGGCTTTTTTTTTTTTTTTTAAGACACTGTTTCTCTGTAACAGCCCTGGCTGTCCTGGAACTCTCTCTGTAGACCAGGCTAGGCTTGAACTCATGGAAATCCACCTGTCTCTGCCTCTGCCTCTGCCTCTCCAGTGCTAGGATTTAAGGCACGCGCCACTATGCCTGGGGCCAGTCTGGGATTTTTTCAGGTATAAAGAAATCTCCTGTCTTAGAAGACTAACCCAAAGATAGCCAAGCTGGGTAGAAAGCAATGTTTTTTTTCCACGGGAGGACCATACATTAATGCTGAAAAGAAGCAACTTAGGAGTTGCTCAGGCTTCAAGGGAAGATGTGGTTCCATGGGCAACACAAAGGTCTGAGTTTTAGTGTTTTCTTCAGTAAATAATTCTCTACAGAAAACAAAGCCTTTGGGTTATAAAAAGGAAGTTATGGTCAGTGCCAGGGAAAGAAACGCCCAAGAACTCCCAACGTTTCAACACATTTCATCATAAAATGCTGCTTCTGAGCCCACAGCTGACATCTGATGGGCCCTTCTGGCCACTGCTTGTTTCGGTGAACTTTATTTTTGGAACAGGTCCTGACACTATACAAATACCTACTGTTTTGCTTCTACTAGCTGTCTCCTTTCCTCCAAGGAAGAAAATGTTTCTCAGCAGTGTTAATAAACAGAAGCATAGGTACTAATTAACTATTTGAATTTTCCCACCATTCCAACATTCAAACTAAACAGTAGAAAAAAGAAAATACTAGCAGAAGGTAGCAATGCCTGGAGTTTTGCCAGATGTTTCTGGAATTAGAAAGTCCTTGCTAGTCTAGCACTCTGGAGTCCTATGTTCCAAGATAGGCATGGCCACAGCTCTGAGAGAGCAGCCTTGGGAAATCACACCTCTTGAAGTCCAAACACCAATCGAGGAAGCTTTGGTCTTGGTGTATTTCTTGACTTGTCAAGGCTCAGTTTCTATACCTCCAAAGTAGGGGCAATACCCATGGGCTAACAAGAAGTTCAAATGAGATGACTTATACCAATCATTCTACACTATTTCTAGCAAGCAAAATGCTTGTAACACAGATGTACTTTATGTGATGTGGAGAGAAACCAATGCAACGGCGAGAGGGAGAAATGCATGCAGCTCCTCCCCAGGCTTGCCTTCCTCTGTATCAGCCCCAGGTGCTCGAAACCTAACTTTAAAATACCCATTTGGGAGCTCACAATCCACTTAAGAGTCTAGACCAAAGGCTTTCATCCTTGGCTACACTTTAGAATCACATGAAGGTTTTCAAAACTTCCTGGTGAAGCCTAACATACAAACAGAATGGCTTCTAAGCTTAGCTCAGTAACTTACACCAAGTAAATGTATCTGTCACTAGCATCCTTATCAGACGGAGGAGTATTTCAAGCTCTTTGGAAATGCCTTCTGTGTCCTTCTTTTGCTATTAAGTCTATGTGGTAACTATTATCCTAAACCAAAACCAACAGAATCTAGTCCTGGTTTTGAGATTTATATAAATGAACCCTTGAATATATGGCCTGTTCTGTTTGTCATACTTTTGTTTGTGTGTTTGTTTTAACACAGGGTTTCTCTGTATAGCCCTGGAACTTACTCTGTCAACTAGGATGCCTCTGTCTGTCAAGTGCTGGGGCTAAAGGCATGTGCCACCACCCCTCAGCTGTCATGTTTTACTTAGTGCTATATTTATGAGATAGAGCCATGTCGAATGTACTTGTGGATCACTGTGCAGCTGAGTATTCAGTTGAATTATCTCAATATTTATTTATCCATTCTATTACTGATATCTTTAGACAGACTCTACATTTTGCATGTAGTTAGTATTATGGCTGAATAAATGTCTGTTCTGGTTGGTTTTTTCTCTATTTGAAATGGGCTGGAGTCATCTTAGAAGGCAACCTCAACTGAGAAGATGCCCCCATCATCTCTGCCTGGCGGCAAGCTTGTGGGACATTTTCGATGATTATGATGATATGGAAGGGTCCTGAGCAGGTGGTCTTGGGGTGTATGGAAAAGCAAAATGAGCAAGCTAGGCCGTGCAAACCAATAAGCTGCATTCGTGCATGATTTCCGCTCATTCCTGTCTTGACTTCCCTCAGTTATGAACTGTGACCAGAGAGCTACTGCTACTGAAATAAACCCTGTTCTCCCCAAGTTGTTTTTGGTCCTGGTCTTTACACAGCACTAAAGACCTGCTAAGACAGAGCTAAGACAGTATCTTTTGGGAGAACATATTCATGCATTTCTCTTGGGTGCAAGCTAGGGGTGGTATTACTGGGTTGCGGGTTCTGTCACCTATGCTGCTGAGCCATTGTACAGCCTGCAGCTCCCCACAGACAGAGTTCTGGGTACTGGCATCCGACAAACATGAGGTTCCTCTTTCTTCTACTAGATATTCCAGTCATTATACCCACACTGGGTATAATTAGCCTTATGACTTCAATTTCTATTTCCCTAATGACACTTTTTCATGCATTTAGTCACCATTAGAATATACTCTTCTAGCCAGGTGTGGTGGCATACCCCCCTAATCCCAGCACTCAGGGAGGCAGAGGCAGGCAGACCTCTGTGAGTCTGAGGCCAGCCTGGTCTACAACAGGAGTCCAGGACAGTCAAGACTACACAAAGAAACCCTGTCTCAAAAAACAAAATCTAAAAAAGGAAAAAAAAAACCTTCTACCCTTCTATTGACTCATCTGTCTTTTTCTTTTTTGGTGTTTTGAGACAGGGTCTCATTCTGTAGCCCTGGCTGGTCTGCAACCCACTATATAGACCTACTGTAGATCAGGCTACCTCACATTTGGATCTGCCTGCCTCTGTCTCTGCCTCTGTGCTGGAAAGAAAGGTGTGCACCACCAGGCACAAACATCTGTCCTTTCCTAATGACACACAGGAGCCTCTTGGTTGGCTAGCTTAGACACAGCCTCATGTAACTCAGGCTGTTCTTGTTCTCAAACTCACTACGTAGCTGAGGGTGAGCTTCAGTTTCTGATCCTCCTGTACCCACCTCTTAGGTGCTGGGGCTACAGACACATGTCCCCACACCCAGTTTTATGCAGTGCTGGGCAATGAACTCGTATGGCTCTCATAGGAGTTGTTTTCATTTTTTAAATGTGCATATTTGGATGTTGTTTTTGTTTTCCAAACGTTGGATGTATAGACTACAAATACTTTGTGGTCTCCTCTTTTCAGGAAGAAAAGCTCTCAATTTTAAAATAATCAATGTATCAATCTTTACCTAAATTTACGGTTGCTATATTTAGAAAGTCTCCTATTTAAGAAATAATTATGGAGCCAGGTGTGGTGGTGCATGTCTTTAATCCCAGAACTCAGGGAGGCAAAGGCAGGCAGATTGCTATGAGTTCGAGGCCAGCCTGGTCTACAAAGTGAGTTCAGGATAGCCAAGGCTACACAGAGAAACTCTGTCTAGAAGAAAACAAAAAAAAAAAATCAATAAAATAAATCATTATGGGCTGTGAAATGGTGCACTTCCTGTGACCTTTACATACTCACTGTGGCATGAATACGCATGTACACATACACAAATAAGTAAATGTAATAAAAATTTTACAAAGTTTCAAATTATGACATTCTAAGCCTATCAAGATGTGCTACTTCCTCTTAAAGCTTTATTATCTTGTATATCACACGTATTAATAGATACGTGGTTTGTCTGGAACTGTTTTTTTGTGGATGGATGTACAGCTATCTTATTTCTACATGGCTAACTACTGATCTATTCATATCTCCACCCCCTTGTGCTGGAGAGCAAAGCCAGAGCCCTGGATATATGCGGTAAGTGTTTTATACTGAGCTACATTCCCACTGTTGAAAAGATACGCCCAGCCAGAGTGTCATCTTTGTCACAAGTCAAATAGTCCATCTGTGTGGGTTAATTTATAAATTTTCTTATCTGAAGAACTTAAAAGAAAAATGCTGATAACTTAAGTCAATCGTAGGACTGAGACCTACAGTTGTGTATGTTATATGTATAGAGAGGGTTTCACTATATAGCCCTAGTCTTACCATATAGTCTTACTATATACTAAACATGTCTATCCAGGGCTACAGAGTAAACTACGTAGATGAGGCTGGCCTCAAACCCATGGAGATCTGCCTGCCTCTGCCTAAGTATTAAAAGCATACAACACCAGCTGGGCGTGGTGGCTGCACACCTGTAATCCCAGCACTTAGTCAGGGACAGGCAGGAAAATCTCTAAGTTTGAGGACAGCCTGATCTACAAAGCAAGTCCAGGACAGTCAAGGCTACCCAGAGAAACCCTGTCTCGAAAACACAAAACAAGAAAAGAAAGACATGCAACACCAAGCCTGGCTAGGTTCAGCATGTCTTTTAAAACTCTTAAAAATATTTTATTTATTTTCATATGTATAAGTATTTGCCTAATTATGTCTGTATATCACAGGCGTGCAGAGCCTAAGTTATGCAGAGGAGGGCACCAGATGCCCTGGGACTGGGGTTACAGGCGGTTCTGAGGTGTTGTGTAGGTGCTGGGAATTGAACCTAGTTCCCCTGGAAGAACAAAAGCAACCAGCGCTCTAAATAACTGACCCATATCTTGAGTCCCATTGAAGCTCAGTATTTATATGCCTTCCCTAAAAAAAGAAGCACATTTCTCTGATATGAGAAGTTTTTTAAAACTTTTTAATGACATTTATCTGTGTGTACTGTGAAGGGGATTGAATGCATGCCCCAACACACGTGGGGAGGCCAGAGAACAGCTTATAGCAATCAGTCCTCTCCTTCTACATGTGGGTCCTGGGGATCCAACCCGGATTATGAGGACTGGCAGGAAGTGCCTTTACCCACAGTCATCTCATGGGCCCAGTAAACAGTATTTCAGACTACAGTTCTTGCTCTCAAGTTGAAAGTCTCTAGTTAAACATGTCAATGTGGGGCTGGAGAGATGGCTCAGAGGTTAAGAGCACGGGCTGCTCTTCCAGAGGTCCTGAGTTCAATTCCCAGCAACCACATGGTAGCTCACAACCATCTATAAAGAGATCTGGTGCCCTCTTCTGGCATGCGGATGTACATGCAGATAGAACACTGTATACATAATAAATAAAATATTTAAAAAAACAAAAAAACATGTCAGTGTGATGAGCCCTCTATCTCTCCAGTGTATTATCCAGGACAGGAGCATCTGCTGGTATAAGTCTGTGATTCTGAACTATAGCTATACAATCAAATGCTCATTTAGGGGCTGCAGAGATAGCTCCTCAGTGGGTAAAAGTGTTTGCCATGCAAACAAGAAGCCCTGAGTTCAAACACCCAGAACACACTTAAATGCCAGATACACAGTTTTGTGTCGATAATCCCAACATTCCTACAGAGAGATGGAAGGCAGAGATAGGAGAATTACTGGAAGCTTGTAGGTCAGCTATGCTGGCATACACAGTGGAAAAACAATAGTCACCTGTCTCAAACAAAGTGGAAAGCAAGAGATGACACCCAATGCTGTCTTCCAACTCTTATGTGTACTGTGATTTACACACTTGCGTTCAAAAACATGAATATGCAAACACACACTACACACATAATTCTTTTTTAAAAAAGCTCATTTAGAAAACTCTAAAACATACTACACGCATACATTTTTTTTCCTAATAGCTCATTTAGGAAATTCTAAAATGGCAGTGATGCCCCATACCAGATGATCTGAACCAATTCCCAGCAGTTTGTCTAAAGCTCCTAGGTGGTCTCACATGCAGACGCAGGCAAGGACTTGGCTAAGATTCTCAGAGTGTACAAAGAAACTAAAAATTCTCACCGTCAGTCCTTCATTGTTCTTGCCTCCAAGTGTGTACAGACTGCCATCATTGGGATCTGGGAGGAAAGCAGGCCTAGAAGTTAAATAATAAATGTCAATGATAAACTATATCCAGGACACAGAACAAAAAAACCCAAAATGATCAAAATCATGAATGAATGCATGTGTGTCTAAGTCAACTTTAGCAACTGCTTTTTTCATTTCAGCCACAGAAAAATAAAATCCTCCATGGAGGTACATATTCTACTTATGTGAAGAAAAATAACCTGAGAAAGAAAAGTCCTATGAGGCCATAAGGCGAAAACTCTGCTGTGCGCAGTGACTCACGCCTGTAATCCCAGCACTCAAGGAGGCAGAGGCTGGCGGATCTCTGTGAGTTTAAGGCCAGCCTAGTCTACAAAGTCCAGGATAGCCAGGGCTACACAGAGAAACCGTGTCTCAAAAAAAAAAAAAAAAAAAGAGTAAACTGTTTTTTGGTCAGGCGCTGTGAATAAAGAGGAAATAAATGAGAAGAGTTTAGCAAGTCTATTTTCACTTTCCATGTCCACTCTGTACCTGGACATCAACAATCAGTATTTAACAGCAACAGTCTTATGTATAAACAGAGCAATTTCATAGTTTTATGTATTCTTGGAGAATTTCATAAATTGACATATGCTATGTTTTGATCGTATTCCCTTGCCACACCCCCTTCCAACTACCCCTGCGCCTCCCCTGCCATGTAGATGCACCACATTTATGCCTGTTAGATCTCCTGGAACTGCAGTTACAATGGTAGTGAGCTGCTTGCCCTGTGCATGCAGGGAACTGAATGCAAGCCCTCTGCAGGAGCAACACACACTCCTCACTGCTGAGCTATCTCTCCCGCTTCCCTCTTTTTAATTTTTTAAAAAAATAATCCACCAAGTCTAATTAGTGTTGCCCGTATCTACTTGTTATTTTCAACAAACATTAATTTCTTAAATGACAGCAATAAAAACAGACCCTAAAAGCCTGACATCAGAGAACCTAAGGGTGCAGACCAAGGTCTCTGTCAGTAGGATCCCACATGAAGATGGGTCGCTGGTCTTCTGTCGGGCCACTGCGCTAAAGATAGAACTTTAATTGGTGCCAGTTAGAAACCCTTTTTCTAATCTTTTTTCAGCTTGGGTTGTTCCATCATTTCAGGCTCTTACAAACAACAACGTTCCCTTGAACACACACACACACTCTAAGAGCCAGTCACAGTTACCTTTGCTCTCTTTGACATGATACAGTGAACAAAAAAAGATCCAGGGAATGGAGAAATGGTTCAGAGGTTAAGAGCTGTCTACTCTTCTAGAGGACCCACGTTCAATCCCCAGGATCCACGTGGTGTCTCACAACCTTCTGTAACTGAAGATCTGATGCCCTCTTTGGCCTCCATGGGCACCCGGCAACACATGTGATACACAGACATGCATGCAGGCAAATCAAACATACACATAAAATGACTGACTGAATGAATTTATTTTAAAAAGGATGAATAAGTAAATAAATTTTAAAAAGAGATTCAGACTTTAAACGTTTAGTTCAAGGGGGCTGGAGAGATGGCTCACTGGTTAAGAGCACTGGCTGCTCTTCCAGAGGACCTGGGTTCAATTCCCAGCACACACATGGTGGCTCACAACTGTCTGTAACTCCAGTTCCAGGGGATCTGACACCCTCACACAGACATATATGCAGCCAAAACACCAATGAATATAAAAAAAAATCATGTAAAAAAAGTTTAGTTCAGAACTCAGTTTAAGTTCTATCTCAAGTCACTGGGCATAGTGGCGTACACGTCTTTAAACACAGCACTTGGGAGGCAGAGGCAGGTGGCTCTCTGTGAGTTTGATGCCAGCTTGGTTTACATAGTGAGCTCCAGGAAAGCTAGAGCTAGAGCTACAGAGTGAGACCTTGCCTCAAATAAGCAACAACTAAAATAAATAAAATAAAAGTTCCATTTCAATCAAACCTTTATAATACTACTGCTCTTCTCCTCACCCAAGGAACAGAGGCTTCTATCACATCACCTGGAAAATTTTTATGTCTCAAAAATTCTTGTTACACTTTAAGCTTGTGCATATATTTGTGCTGAGCAACTAAATCAAATGGTAAATTTAAAGGAAATACTAAGGAGATGAGGAAACTTACTCTTCCACGTGTGTTGGGACCTGCAGGACTGGATCTGTGCAAAAGAACAAGAAGCATCATCAGAAGGGCTCTGAAATGTCAGGGCCCTGGAAGCTTCCCAGGACCAACTTACAAGCTGTACCAACAACTAAGGCTGACTTGCTTTAGATAAGTCATGTGAGGGCACTTCAGGAAATGCACAAAGGTGCAAAGGTTAAGTGCTTACAGTTCGTACTAAGACTAGACAGAGTGGGGCTGGAGAGTTGGCTCAGTGGCTAAACTATTTGCTGCTCCTTCAGGGGACCCAGGCTGGATTCCTAGCACCCACATGGCAACTCACAGTCATCCATAACTCCAATTCCAGGGAATCTGATGCTATCTTCTGCACTGAGGACACCAAACATATATGGTGCATATACACACACAGGCAAAACATTCACATAAAATAAATAAATCTAATAAAACTTTGTCAATATTTATTATTTTATACATATGAGTGTGTTGCCTGCATGTATGTCTCTGTGCCATGTGCATAAAAAGTGCCTACAAAGGCCAGAAGAGGGCATTGGAGCCCTGGCAGCGGGTTGAAGATGGTTGTGAACCGCCACATGCATGGTGGGTACTGAAGCCAGGTCCTCTGGAAGAGCAGCCAGTGTTCTTAACCCCTGAGCCTTTTCTCCAGTCCCCATCACAGAAATGTCTAAGATCCGAATCGTTGGTTTTCTGTTGGATACCTAGAGTAGGAATAAATATTCCCTTAGGCAATACCACACTTTGGCTTCATAATGGATAACTGAATAGTAAATGCCCTTGCAGGAGCTTATGGCAATTCCACTGGCTTCAAGTGTTGATTCTCTTTGATCCAGTAGTTGTATTTCTGTAAAATCTAACTTAAAATAGTACAAAATACAAGAAAAGCTATTTGTACAAAGGTGTTCACAAAAACATTATAAATGTAGTAACTACTCTTGGATATGCTTAAATTACCTATTTGGCAGTAAATTAAGGCTTCTTAAAAAGCCTAATAAAAATTTGGTGTTTAAATTTTATTTTGTTTTGAGGTAAGGTCTGACTGTATAGCTCTGGCTGGTCTTGAACTCAGAGATTCCTGCCTCTGCCTACCTCCTGAGTGCTGAGGTTAAAGTTGTGCACCATCACACCCAGAGCTAATGAACTTTAGTTTTAAGCATGTACAAATTTTTACACTTTTGTAGTCATATGAAAAGCACATTTACATAGGTTACAATGTAACAATGCAGAAAACGTTCAGTGGAACAAGCGCTAAATGGAAAGATTGTAAGTACTAATGATGTTCTCTTTTTAAAGTATAAGCAAATCTCACCTTTTCTCAAATTTTCTACAAGATTGGATATTTCTTTTTAAAATGTAAAGAAAATCTTTTTTTTTTTCCTCTCCTTGTACAGCAGTAATTCCATGTTTACAGCAGTAAAATGTGGCCGAATTCCTTTCCTCAGAGGTTCTCCTGGGCATAAGCAGAGAGGAGGCTCCTGATTGGCTGGGATGGATAGTGCTGGTGAGAGGATGTGGCAGCATTAGCAGCTGCCACATCGGAAGACCTCAAGGAGAATGCACAGTGAGGTAGACTGCCAGCAAATGCCCACAGCTACGACCAAGCGGCACATTCCAGAACACAGGGAGGGAAATAGTCTAGCAAGCTTGTGTATGCAGTCTTCTAGACTCCAGAGGCTCAAAGTGACAGACAGCTGTATGATCTTCTTGTCATTTGGGACTCTCCTGTGAAGTAAAGTCTTTCAAGCCTTATCATATACTGAATCTGCTCACAACAGAGACAACACACCAGATGTGGTCTGCAGGCAGCAAACAAACAATTCACTAAACCAGAGAAGGACACTGCAGGAAACAGGGTGAACTTTCAGTCTGTAAGCACATGTTTATCTTTCCCATTAATCACCTCTCAGTACACTCTCACAAACAGACTGACGCAAGAGACAGGAAATAAAGGCACACGACACTCACTCAACTGAAACAAACCAGGCAAGGTGCAATCAGAGCCCAGAATCTCCAACTCAGCCCCCAAAGCCATGCAAGACAGCAAAAGCAAGAATGTCATATTCCAAAGAAAGTGTAGCAGTATAAAAGCCATCTTTTTTGCTCACTTCAGCCACTTAATGGTGTCACAGATAAAACAAAGGAAGGAAGCACTGCTAAAATCTAGCAATTACAAAAAAATATGTAACATGGATGTTAACATGTTTGAATTCCTGTTCATAACCTGATCTTTGCTGTACCGTGTTTGCTCAGTCTCATGGAGTCATCTTCAGGGGCAGATTTAACTGGCTTTTTATGGTTTACCTACCTACCTCTGGTTTTTTTTGAGGCCTCAGGTCTGAACATGTTCCCTGCATCGTAAGATACAGGGCATCAGTGGAAAAGATAAGTTTCCCTGGGCCAACAACATCAGTATTGAAGAAACACTCTAGTCTTAAGAAAAGATAAACTCTAGAGTGTGGCCATATGGCTGCCTTCACACTCTCCATCCACTCAGCCTGACAGGGGACCTGGACAATCTTCTGCTAAGGTGTAGACCAGGTTAAAACCCCAGTATTAAGACAGCTCTGACAGAGGCAGGCAAACTACGGCTCAGTTTCTGAGGTATAACAATGGCCTGTTCTACAGATACTCTTCTTCTTAAAGAATAATTGGTAGCCAGGTATGATAGTATATGCATGTCATTCTAGCACTTGGGAGCCTGAGGCAGGAAGTTTTCAAGTTTAAGGCCAGCCTGGGCAAGGGAGACCCTGTCTGTGCAGGGAGAATCTAAGATTTGCTTGAAAACAGTTCAGAAAAAGAGTTGTGAGCTCAGTGTGGTGGCACACACCTAGAATCCCAGCACTCAGGAAGAAAGAGGCAGGCTGATCTCTGTGAGTTCAAGACCAGCCTGATCTACAAAGCAAGTCTAGGCCAGCCAAGGCTGCACAGGGAAACCCTGTCTCAAAAACAAACAGAGTTGTGTGAGGGGCAGATGAAGCAAACAGTGTCCAACTGGTGACCTGTTAGAGACGAAATCCCAGAGTCTTCTCACTGTTTTCTGTACGTGTTTTGAATTTTCTACATTTTCTACATTAAAGATAAATATTTCTGTGACTCCCCAACAAAGATGAAAACAAGCATCACTTGAAAAACACGTGATGAAGGTTCAACAGAAAAAGCTTTTTTTTTTTTTTGTTTACCAGTAAGAAATATATCAGGCAAGATTCTTTCTCACAAGTTTCAGCTGATGAATAGAAACCCTGGGCAAACTGTAGGACTGTAAGCAAATACTCCTGCAAAATAGGCCAGTCTATCCACATGGAGCCAGATAAGGTTGAATGCCAACTTCACTGAGCTGTTTTACTTCTAGAAAGAAAAAAAAAAAGAAAAAGAAAAAGAGGGTAAAATGGGTGTAACTCCAGGTAAAGGTGAGGTAGGTTACTGGTAAGCAATAAGGAAACACCACTGAAAACAATGTTGGGGCTCTCTAAGATTACCTTGGGGAGAAACCGACCTGCTAACTGTTATTCTGGAAGAGGCAGCTGCTGGACTCAACTCTACCTGCTGGTGTTCAGCACCCTGGGTCAGGTCAGACCACACTTACTGCTACCATACTGTGCTAGCTTGAGGCCTACACATTCTTCTGTGTGAGCACAGCAGGGTGAAGGTGTAAATGCTCCTGTGTCCACAGCAGTGACTGCTGCCTTGCTCCATCTGGAGAGGGATTTCTTACTCAAGCTCTCCTCTCTCTTAGGGTACACACCCCTCTCTATAACCAGCCCTAACCACAAGGTAGGGGAGAGCATACATCCCTACCTAGTGTTATTTCTTAGAATCAACTGGACATTTCCTCTATGTGCTAACAGTATCTCAGCCTCCACTGTCTAAATTACTCATTCCGTCTTTCACCCAAGACTGCCTTCTTGAATACCTTATATTTGGTTTCTGTTTCTTCCTCTTCTTCTTTTTCCTCTTCTTCAAGATTTATTTATTATGTGTACACTGTTCTGCCTGCATGTACACCTGCATGTCAGAAGAGGGCACCAAATCTCCTTATAATGGTTGTGAGCCACTATGTGGTTGACTGAGATTGAATTTAGGACTTCTGGAAGCGTAATCAGTGCTCTTAACCACTGAGCCATCCCTCCAGCCCCTTTACTTTGTTTTTTTGTTAGTTTGTTTATTTTGAATTTTTTTCATATAATATACTCTGGTCACAGTTTTCCCCTCTCTCATCTCCTCCTAGATCCTCCTCACATTCCCACCCATCCAACTCTATGCCTTTTTTCTCTCTTTAGAAAACAAACTGGGGAGGAAGGAGTATAGGAGCCAATGGGATCAAGGACAGCACAAGAAAACTCATAGAATCAACTAACCTGTGTTCACAGGAGCCCACAGAGACTGAACTGCCAATCAGGACACCTGCATGGGACTGACCTAGGCCCTCTGTACATATGTTACAGTTGTGTAGTTTGGTCTTCTTCTGAGATTCCCAACAATGGGAGCAGGGACTGGCTGTCCCTGACTCTGTTGCCTGCTTTTGAAATCCTTTCCTCCTACTGGGTTGCCTAGCCCTAATAGGAAAGAAGATACCTAGTCTTCCTAAAACTTGATAAGCCATAGCTGGTTGATATCCATGGTAGCCTGCCCTTTTCTGAAGAGAAATGGAAAAGGAGTGGATGGCGAGGGACTGAGAAGAGAGGATAGGGAGGTAACTATGGTGGGGATGTAAAAGAAAGAGAAGGAGGAAAAAAGGAAGGAAGACAAATTAAAAAAACAAAACAGAAGAGCACAAAGCAAGCAAGCAAGCAAACAAAAAAAAGCATAAAAAGCACATACACACAGAGACACAGAAACACAGACACAAACAAAACCTCAGGTGCCAGGATTAAGTGCCCTGTACTGCTAACGAAACCCAACTTCTTAAACCCACAGAGGACTGCATGTGGGGGCCAGAAACAATTTGTCGACAATGAAAGTTTTCTGAACACCAGGGTGGTTTTGGTAGCCCTAACTCATGCTATACTGCACAATTTCACTGCA